TTGGGTTTTCGTCGCTTGGCAAAGACGTTGTAAAACAAGCCAAGTCACTTCGGCAACTCGGCAACCAGGATACCGTTTTTTTTTTTACCTCTGTGTTTTTTGGCGGCAACCATAATGGTGGTCGAGTGGATCATGTTTTGCGGGGTCGAGAACCCTCACTCCGCACAAGGGGGATGATCGCACCACGTTGTGTTAAAATGGTCAAGCACCCTCGAGGCAGTTACACAGTGCTTACAACTGTCTCTGGAAGTGAAAGCACCAGAAAATAAATTAAGTCATACGCAGCTGTCATCCACCCCCGCCCCCAAACGGACGTTGTGCAAGTTGGTGTCTGAAGTGTTTAACTTGGTCACAATAGTGCAGAATGCTGGATTGAGGGAACAGTCATACTCTTCTACAACAGACTATAATTTGTTGCGGCGTAGAATGCACACTAGACTATACCACGTGTGATCATGTCTGTCTTCGGAGATGAGCGCACCCGATTCGCACAATAACAGCGCGTGCGTGCCTTGTTTTTAAATTTACGCCGTGCACAACGAACTTTGTTCCGTGGGAGAAACGGGCGAGCTGGGCGAGCACAAGATGGTCATCGGGGGAAAACTTCTCCCTGAGCGATTTAGTCTAGCCCACCCTGAACCAGTAGGGTATCTCGCTTGACCCTGCTGACAAAGGCGGTCGCCGGAGGCAGAAATCGGGTCTTTGTCTCTCATCAGTTTCCATCTATTTATATTCAGGTTCAAACACCAACAACATACACGTGGTGTGTAACGTCTAAATACCTGAGCGATTCTAATACGATTATCTTCGAAGAAAGTCATCTGGTGATCCTCTTTGTTCACAGGTAGGCAGCAACGGAAGGAGGGTGTGTTTTCGTCCTTTTTTATTATGGCGACAGTCCCCCCATTTTTCGTGGTGAGACGTGTACTACACTTTTCAGTGTATTTTTTCGTACAACTCCAACCATCCAGGGTCACACAGGAGGGGGTAAACACCGGGGCTTTTTTCTTGATATTTCTTTTCATGCCCCACCTTCCTCCTGCGGAGCGTGCTGAATTTTATTTTTATCGCAAGAAGGGTCCAGCCGTCCCTTTCCCTCGTCAACGGTGCTATTTAACGTCGAAGTTTGGTACTCACGAGAGCTTTTTAGCTATATTTTGCTTTCACCCGCAAAATTCGTACATTCTTCATCCCATGGGGATTCGAACTCACGACCTCTGTGACTAGCGGATTTCGAGGATACCACTAAACCACCCGCGGGCGACCGGGGTGTACCTTATATGACACAAGATAACACACCCCCTTGACAGGTTTTCGAAGCTTGATTACTCCACGACGAAGAGGATGCACAAACGAAACGATACATTTTTGGAAAGCTCTCGACAAGACGGTTTAAACGCCGCCGTTTTCGGCGCCGTGACTTTTCTATTGTTGAGAAATCGAGATTTGAAAATCGGTCCAGGGGGTGTGTTATCGTGTGTCATTTCGGTACATGTACGTTTTCTTGTGTCTCCATCACGTTTTCGCATCAAAGTCGCTCCCACGCCACTGCAATGAAAGAAATGGGTTGCGCTGGGGGCGAAAAAGTCAAAACTCAACAAGTGTTCTGGGCGCCAACTCAAACTGCCATGCTGCCAAGCAGCAACTGCTGTGGCAGAGTGACAAACAATGATGTGTTGTGTTGACCGGCTGCGCATGAAGGCGTTGATCTGGGGGCGCCGTGGAATGAAAAGTGCATGTTGCACATACCGTCGACGAGAAGGAAACAAGGCCTGCTGGACTGGTTGTTATGCTTGTTGTTTGAGTTGCGACGCAGCAAGGCAGAGACACCACCCAGAGGGTAGAAGGAGAGCAGTGGATGGTCCGGTTGCCGCGGCGCACGCCCGAAGTCATTATTCCAGCAAGCGAGGCGCGCAGAGAGATTCCTGATCAGGGTTGCGAAAGAGAGAAGACGACAAAGTGAGAAAATTAGTTTTTCGGGTCCGAGTTCTACTGCTGCGTCCCCCTGTGGAAGTTCTGTCTCTCTTTCTCTCTCTCAGCCCCTTGCTTCTGCTGCTGCTCGCACAACCGTTGAACGCTGCACACACAGCTCTCCTCTCCGAGCATGCTCCCAGCTGTCTTGAACGGCTTGCACTTCGGTGTTTCCGTGCTTGGGGTCCCCCGAGCAGCGCTGAACCCCCTCGCTGCCGTTGACACATACGCGCTGTATTTTTGGTTGAATAGACCAAAAAAAAACCGCAGGGTGGTGTCGCCAGATGCTGACATGATCGACTTCATATGTCGCGAGGGAAGGGATTGCTGTACCCTTCTCGCGATAAAAATATCTCAGGCAGGAACCACAGGACAGGGTCCAACCCCCCCCCTCCTATGTGACCCCGGTTGGGTCGTCTAGCTGGTAGAAGTGGAGGATAGGGGCCAGAGGGGCAGACGACCGAGTCCAATGATGGGAGACAAAAAAAAAGAAATCACGGTCCACCGAACTGCTTTGCAAAGCAACTGTATGGGGAGGCTCAAGACACGCACCGAGACTTGCCGCACTAGTCCATAGGTTTGTCCTATTTGTTCTTGTTGGACATCTAGCAGTGATTGAATCTGCCTCGTTCGCTTGGGAGCTGCAAACCACCTCACCATCAACATCCGCTCACAGACTGTGGGGGGGCTGGAGTGTGAGGAGCATCAACTCGGCTGCGATCGCAAGGCACCGCTGCAGCACCGTGGCGTCTTGCTTGGTCCCGTGCCGTGCTTCTCGCATTGCCGCGCGTGATTTTTCCCGTTTTCGAGGCGAATCTACTCAGTCACCATCACATGCATGCAGCTCAGCTGCCGGCAGACTCTCTTCAAGTCTTCGGGGGCGTACCCATTACAAGTAGTCCCCCGCGTTTTTCAGCAGCAAGCACGAAAACGTTGACATTGATACTTGTAAAGCGTACATACGTACATATATGAATCCAGCGCTCTTTCATCCTGGACTCTTGAGCCTGTGCGTAGAGATGAATATATCCAGCAGTGGTTTGTTTTCGGCGAGAAAAAAAAGCTTGAAAAAAAAACTACCCGCGGGGAGTGGATCAAGTCTACCGACACGCAGGCAGACACCGAGCCTTGCTGAGATATTTGTGAGCGTGGCATCGATACACACGTGCACAAGCGCAGAGTGCATTCCTCCGCAAACCCAAAATTTAAATATGCATGTGCGTGGTACTAAAGAAAATCTTGTCCGCGTCATTCCTTCCAGCAGCAGCTGCCCATGACAGGGGCGGCGACAAAAGCCGCCGCCGCGGCGACGGCTGTTCCCAACGCACCGGTATCGGACCCCGCTGGCGCGGGTGACGTTGCCGCCGTCGAGGAGCAGCAGACGCCGAACGTGTCTGGCGGCCGGGAGCACCGCAGCAGCAGCGGCGACGGCCGTGGTGGTGGTCGCGACCTGACCCCGCCTGCGGCACACCTGCAGAAAGGCATCGTGGAAGCTCTCGAGGAGAGCCAACAGCCCCTCGAGAGAGGGGCGGCACCAGACACATCGCCAGCAGCAGCAGCGGTCGGCATCAATGGAGACACGGCGTCGGGTGCCTACGACGATAGCGTCGACAGCAGCGGCGGGGGGGGGGGGGTCGCGAAAGCGGGAGAAGGAGGGACCCCAACAGACCGCGGCGGGCACACCAACGGCGTGAGCAAAATGACGACGCACCCACCAGCGCGACCACCCCCCGTACCGGCCTCCGCCACCGCTACGAAACCCCGCCTCGCCGAGTGGGTCAAGGCGGAGGGGGAAGACGACGACAGCGATGTCGACACCGCTAACAGCCTGCGCGGCGGCAGCGGCGGCAGCGCGCCTAGCAGCGCAGGCTCCGAGTTGTCTTGCGCCACTACCCCGGCGGCGGCGGCCGCGGCGGCGGCGGGTGTATTTCCAGCGGGGGCCGGGGCAACACCGCCAGAAGCTGAAGGGTCAGAAGACTCGAGGGGCGAAAGAGGGACACCGGCCAAGGGGGATGGCGAACGGGTTTCCACAGAGGCGGGGGTTGGCGGCGGTCCAGGAGGGGGCATGGGCGAGGCGGAAGCGAGCGGGGGGGGCGGGACGGCAACGGCGGCCGCCGCGGCGCCGGCGCCGGTGGCGGCGCGGAAGCTGGCCGACTGGATCAAGGACGGCGGCGCGGATGACAGCGAGGCCGAGACGAGCACCAGCGGGTGAGTCGGGGTGGCGTTGGCCTTGCCGCGGTGCTTTCTGGTCGTGCGTCTTGCAACCTTTGTCACTCTCTCTGCCCAGCTGTCTTATCTCTATCTCATGGGGGACGGAGTTCGGACAGTGGCGTGCTCCCGCTCCAGGAAGAAAATGAAAATCTTGTCCTCAAGGAATCTAGTGCTATTAAGCTTGATCATGATGTGGACGGGAAATCGAGTTTGGCGGTTTGATGGTGGCGTGGTCCAGTTCCAGGAAGAGCCGAGAAAAAAACAAAACAGCAAACGACCGCAGGATACGGAAAGAACGATGACCCCCCACACTCGTGGACTTGCTGGCCTAGTAGTAAGGAACGATTGGCCATCGGTAATCGGTTCTGTGGAAATAACGCTCCGTCGTCTCGAGGACGCGTGGTCAATGGTCCAACCGCTCAGGCATGCAGAGTATGAGTTCGCCCCCCCATTGGCGATGTGCTAGCCTGGGCCGGTGGAAGCCTGGTACATCCCGGCATTTACGGCATGCACGACTATGAGTCCCCCCCCCCCCCCCCCCCCCCCCCCCCCCCCCCCCCCCCCCCCNCCCCCCCCCCCCCCCCCTCCCCCGCAACTCATGGAATCGCAGGATGTCGCCCACGTCTTCGAGATCTCCAGTAACCTCCGCCGACGGGCGCAAGGCCTCCGACCGCTTCCTGGTGTCGGCGGGCAGGAGGCTGATGACGGCGGGGGCGGGGGCCGCCGGAGCAGCGGTGACGGCCGCGGCGGCCGCAAGACGGCGGCAAAGCCCGCTCTCGGTGGGGGGGGCTGGGGGGGGAACCGACGGGAACATGGCCCCTCTGCTTGAGTCAGACCACCGAGAAGGGAAGGCTGAGCGCGGGGCCGCCGCTGCTGCCGGTGCTGCTGTTGCTGCTGCTGCTGCTGCTGCTGCTGCTGCTGCTGCTGCTGCTGTGTTTAACGGGGACGGGGTGTCTTCGGGGGAGGTGGCGGGGAGCGCAGAGGGAGGTGTGAAAGGCGCGGCCACCGTCGCGGCTGTCCGAGATAAGGAAAGGTTGGAGAAGCTGCAGTCTTTGTTAGACGACGGGGAGGGAGGGGATGGCGACTGCGGCGGCGGTGGTGAAGCCAGCGGGGGAGCTAGGGCGGCGGCGGCGGTTGCTGCTGCTCGCGCCGCGTCGAGGGGGCCGGGGCCAGGGAGCGGGGGGTGGGCGGACACGGCGGCGGAGTTGGACGAGGGACCAGGCGTAGGACACGGCGGTGGGTGGTGTCGAGCTTGGACTTCAATGTTGGTGTGAGTTTGGTTGTGAAACTGCTGGCGCTTGGCTGAAGCAGGTTGAGGTGCATGAAGGAGGAGGGTGTGGTGTTGCAGCTCATGCTCGGGTTCGCACTGGGTTTCAAGGACACGGGAAAGGCCGGTTGTGTATCCCCTTCGGCGTTTCCTCCCAGCGGATGGGGATGGCTGACGTTCTTGAAATGCCCTCCTTGCCGCGAGCGCTGTGTCCAAGCCTCGAGACTGGCTTGCCGTTTAGAAGCTGCAGAGATCCCGATGGTTTGATCGAGGCTCCTTCCTTTGTCGTCCTCAACTCGGCACTAGATGAGAATGATTAGAACCCGTAGAACCCGCACACTTGCCGGCCCTCGATGAGTTTGGTGCAGTTATTATTTCTGTTTCGTGCCAAGTACTGCTGTGGCAGTGCGGTGTGTATGCCATGTTTGTTGTGTTATTGTTTGTGAGAGGGTCCGGGAGTTACCGTAGATGCCATGTTTATTGTGCTATTGTCTGTGAGAGGGTCCGGGAGTTTTCGTACGGGCGGGGGTCGCCACATGTGAAGCAAACGTATGAAAACGAGTGCGATGGTGGCAAGAAGGTGGTCGGCAAGATACAGCACGACCTAAGCGGATCGGTTGGATGGTTGATTGGTGGGGTTTTCCGGGTAGGCGCGCCACAGAACGAGGTACGGTAGTATGGGTCGCCGAACATTCCATTGGAAGATTCCACAAACCCTTGGCCCATTTTCAAAGCTCGACTTCTCTCTGCAGCAAAGAAGAGGGTGCCGAAATGAACTGATGCGATTTCGGAACGCTCTCGACGAGACGGTTCCAACGCCGCCGTTTTCGTCACCGTAATTGTTTTCGCTGCAGCGTAAACCAGTGCAGGGGGGGTGTGGTGTCCGTTGCAACCAACGATCGGAGACTCGCTGGAGGGATTTCGGTAGAGGACCTAGGGGGCATCATGTCGTAGGCCTCGAAAGCATACAGATGCGCTTGCTAGAAGCACGCTTGATGACCTAGCACCCGGTTAGAGCCTGGTTCGGTGAGAACCCGACGTGCTCCGTCCGGGCTTAATAGGGGTGCGAGGTCAATGGTCTATCGACTACGGCATGCACGACTATGAGTACCCCCCTCCCCCCCCCGGCTCCTGTCCCTGTTTTTATCCGTCGGCCCCCCCCGTGGACCCTTTCCTTTTGTCAGCTCTCGCCCGGAGAGAAGACCAAGCACCGCTGTCGCCGCCCCCTGCGGCGGTGCGTGCGGTGAGCGATATGCTGGACAGGGCCGGTGCCGGCGGCGCTGGCGGTGGGGCCGCGGGGTCCGGTAGCTCTGCGGAGAGAAGAAGGTGGAAAGAGGCGGGGTTCCCGGGAAGCAGCTTGAGGTGTGTTGTTGTTATTGGTGATGATGGTGCTGGTGTCGCTGTAGTTTCGTTGCCGTGAGTTTTTGTTGGAACATTAGAAAAACCCTACCGGTGTCATACGTGCATGTAGCACTGGTCCATCGACGCGGATGGACGCCTTCCAAGATCACAAGCCAAAGGATGCAATGTACGTAGTACCCCTATCATATCATATGGGAAATGACGAATGGAAATTGTACGCGAGCCCATGTTTTTTTGTGTTGTCCTTGTCGTGCCCGCAGCAATGGAAATTTTTTACTACGATGAGGATTCTTTCCAACACCGGAGACGCCCCTCCTGCGTCCCCGCCTTTTGAGCCCAAGCTTACGACTTTTTTTTTTGTGAAAGTACCGTATATTTCACAAGATAACACATCCCCTTGACCGATTTTGGAAATTCGATTTCTCAACTGCAGCAACAGTCACAGCGCCGAAAACGGCGGCGTTGAAACCGTCTCGTCGAGAGCTTTTCGAAAATGTATCATTTCGTTTATGCATCCTCTTCGTCGTGGAGTAATCGAGCTTCGACAATCGGTCCAGGGAGTGTGTTATCTTGTGTCATATACGGTATGCACACAATTATTACGGTATCCGTTCGAGATACCACCGTAGTCGATTATGATGGAATGAAACTTTGCAAGTGAGTGGGCGATAAACGTTTTTTGTAGTGTTCTCCCCCGTCCCCACCCACCTCTCGATGCGGCTCGCCGAATCCCGCACAACGCTTCGGGCTTGGTGATGTGAGACGAGAGCCTGGTCCGGTGAGAAGCCGGCGTGCTCCGTCCCGGCTTTGTAGGGATGCGAGGTCAATGGTCTAACGACTACCCTCCCGTGCGGAAAAAAGGCGACCACTGTGGTGCTCACGGCCCTTACATTTCCGAGCAGATTAGTACGGCATGCACGACTATGAGGACACCCCCCTCCCCACCCCTCACAACCGGCGCCCCTTTTATTGTGGAACTCCTTCATCAGGAGGAGGCGCCACTAGGAAAGCATGCAAAAACAGTCCCTCCCCCCTTGTACCCCTCTTCTCCTTCGTGAGGGGGAGGCGCCACTAGTAAGGCATGCAAAACCTAAGTACTCTTCATGTCGAACTTCTTCATCATTTGGAGGCGCTGCTAGTAAGGCATGCAAAACATGAATACCCCTCCCCCTCCTCGACACCCCTATTCATGTCGAACTCCTTCATCATTAGGAGGAGGCGATCGGCCAGCGTCGGCGAGCTGAGGTCGAACCGAGGCAGCCGCAAGTTTACAGTCAAGGGGCCAACGAAAGGACAAGGGCAAGGGTGGATGTCCGACGGCGAGGAGGCGGAAGGGCTCTCCCCGATAGGGCACGAGGTGGGTGACAAGCGTGACGTTCGTTTGGGTTGTGGTTGTTTTTATATTCCCCCGTTTTCGGTGTTTTCCTTTGGCACCGGTCTGCACCTGACCCTCACCGATAGGGCACAAGGTAGGCGAAAGGCTTGGCGTTCGTTTTTGTTTTTTGTTTTTCGCACGTAGTTGTTACGATCTGTTCGTTACTCTTCCCATCGTCGGGATTCAACGCCCTCTGATTGGTCGAGCGTTGTTTCGGGCGGTTCCACTCCAGTGCCCTCTCTGTGTTTCGCATTCCGGCCACGTAGCGCGGCCGCTTTCTCGCCTAGTTCGCGGCGGCGAGGCCGCGCGTTGGCCGCGGATGAGGGTTAGGGTTGGGATAGGTTGGGTCGGCCGCGGTGCGAGGCATGTCTCGTACGCGGAGCTAAGGTTTCATCATCCGGTCAGTTGCTGCTGCTGTTGCTGCTGCTGCTGCCGCTGGTGTCTCCAGTGCTGTGGCTGTGTTGCCGCCTTCACCCGAATGTCATTCGCTCGCTCTCATCCTCACCCACGCACAACGTTTTTCGCGTGTGCTGCCGAACGGCGACAACCAAAACCAACACAGATCGCGTACATGAAGCAGCGGCGAGGGAGCGCGAACAAAGGCGACAAGCCCACGGGTGGACTGGGCAGCTTGGGGGCGTGGCCAAACAAGTCCAAAAAGGATGTGGACTCTGCCAAGGTACGGTACGGTATGGTGCGGTAGTGTACGGTGCTTCCGGTAAGTTTGTACGATCGTGAAAGGGACTTTGTGCGGTGCGGCACGGTATATGGTACGGTACGGTAATGTTGTACGTTAGTGAAATCGCCGCAACTCATGCGCGTTCTGGTGTCGTATGCAGTCTGGTGAGTGTTGGTGTTGTGTATTGTGCGTCGCTAGTTGGTAGCCTGGGGACATGGCCGACACAGTTCTTTGCAAGGGCACAATGGACGTACTTTCAGCACATGCATGAAACTTCAACCTTGTCAAGCTTGCCGGGCAGTAACTCTCGTGACGGCATCACGAAACTTGACCGTCACAGGAGCAAACGATGAAAAAAGTGACCAACGTACACCTATTCTCTACATTCCTCTTCTCGTAACCAACAGGTGATTTACCTCGGGGACATCGACTTCGACGCTCCCGGCGAAGCCACCGCTACCGACATCCTTGTCCGACAGCACCGCACAAGGGTCCGGGTAAAGCGGGTGAAGGACAAGGGCACGACCAGAAAAAAACGCAGGACCAAGGTGTGGAAACCTTTGCGATTTTTGTTTGGTGTGCACTCTCTCGCCTGTCGCGTGTTGCTGGAAATGTATCTGTGGTTTGTTGTGGGTGTTAGTAGTCTACTTCACGCGTCGGTATGTATCTGGCGTTTCTGCGGGGGGGAGAAAGGAGGGTTGACACAGCAGTATTATAGTGTGAGGAGCTTGGTTTCGATGAGAAGGTTTATCGGGAAGCTTGGTACACACGACGGCGCGCATGGCCTTCCTGATACACGTGCCAAGCTACGATTCTGCCGCTGCTCTGCCTTGACAATATGCCTAGGGTAAAGCACGGACGAATCTCATAGATGTGAAGCGACTTGTACAGCTCAAAGGGACAATCAAAGTCCCCCCCGTTCCCCACCCACCCGCCCATTCCCGCGTCTCTTTTTCGTCCTTCCATTGGAAACCCCGACTGAGTCACAGCCGAAACGCCGAATTCGAAGTGGGAAACCGCTTCACCCGGAGGAGGACGAGGTGGAGTACATCTTGACCATCGGCATGATGCTGGGCCTGAGGGTGGCCGTGGGCAGGCAGGCTAACCCGCTCGCGAAGCCGGAGTTGACGGTGGAGGACTTCTATCAGGCGCGTTTTCTTCTTGTGTGTGTTCGTCATTAGCATCGACCGCGCTAACCGGCTGACCAATGAAAAGACGCCCGTCTCAGTGCGGTTGAAATCACGAAACACCTCACACGAAACACCTCACACGAAACACCTCACACGAAACACCTCACACGAAACACCTCTACATTACATGAACTGTGTGTGTGTGTGTTTTTTTTTCTGTCGAAAGTGGCTGGGGGACGCAGAACTTGAAGTTGTCGTTTGGAAGATAGCTACAGCAGTTGTAGGAGCCGGCGGTGTCGGAAATTGGGTTGTTACTTCATGTAGCGAAGGATAGGGGACTGGCTCCTTGGGTTGCGTGAGATACTACAACCACAACCCCTTTGGATCGTTTTTCGAAGCTCGATTTTTACTCCACGACGAAGAGGATGCCGGGTTCGAACGACAGGTTTTCGAAAAGCTCTCGACGAGACGGGCTTCCACCTCCGTCGTGTTCGGCACCGTTACATACTCGCTGTCCTTGTTGCAAAGTAATCGAGCTTTGAAAAAAAATTGATCCAGTGAGGGAGTATTTGACATCTGAAAAACGGTCTAGGGTGTGTGTGGTGTCTCGTGCAACCTGCGATATTGCAGGTTGCGTGAGATACCACACATATCCTAGACCGTTTTTAGAAGGTTGGTTTGTACTCCACGACGAAGAGGTTGCCGTAATCAAACGAAGCGTTTTCGGAAAAGCTATCGACGAGACGGCTTCAACGCCGCCGTTTTCGGCGCTGCCACTTCTTTCTGCTGCGGAGAAACCCAACTTTGAAATCTGCCCGCAGGGTGCGGTATCTTGCGTCACCTGCGGTACAATAGTGCAGACGCGGGTCACATTCGAACGTATCCTCTTTTTCATCGTGGAGAAGACGAACTGTGACAATCGGTCCAAGGGGTGTGATATATCCTCCGGCATGTCCCGCGTGAACTCCACCCACACGTACGTGCTGGTACTCCCTCAGCACCGGGGGGTGCAGTATCTTACGTCACTTCGTGTACGGTACACACGGCGACCCTTGTACACATCTCATCGGCTCTTCCGGGATGTCCCGCGCGAATTTCGCCTACACGTACTGGTACTCCCTCAGCACCGGGGGGTGCGGTATCTTACGTCATGTCATGTCACCCACGGTACGCACGTTGAAATGGGTCCAGGGTCCAGGGGGTGTGATGTCTTAGGTCGTGTCGTGTACGGTAAAGTCAGCGCTCGAGATTAAGAAACAACCCTTTCTAAGAACCTCAGGCTCAGGTTTCGGCGATACATGGAGAAAATCGACCCCTGTAAGAAATACAACTCAGCCGTGGATCCTACTCTAAACTCTTTCGACTATAATGACCTACCGTATATGACGCAAGATAACACACCCCCTGGACCGATGTTCAAAGCTCGATTACTCCACGACGAAGAGGATGCATGAACGAAACGATACATTTTCGACAAGCTCACGACGAGTCGATTTCAACGCCGCCGTTTTCGGCGCTATGACTGCAGTTGAGAAATCGAGCTTCGAAAATTGGTCAAGGGGGTGTGTTATCGTGTGTCATATACGGTATGCTCGAAGGTGGTGACGCAGTTGAGCCTCGACCCAAAAGTTGTCGTTCTGACGTCTCGTTAACGCGGGCGCTGCCCTGTGTTAACGCGGTCCATGTCTACGGCGGAGCAGGTGGACAAGTACACCTTCCCTCCCTCCGGGGCTACGGGCTACCTCGTGACACCCTCCCACAAGCTGGGCCGGACGTTCAAGTTCAAGGACTACGCCCCCAAGGTGTTCAAGAAGATCAGGGAGCACTTCGGCGTCGACAAGGTGTTGTGCTATTGATGCTGGCGTGATCGGTGTTGGTTGGCTTTGATGTTATTGTTGTGGTCGTTGTTGACGGGGTGCGAGGTGTTGCGGTTGGTCGTTGTTTTGATTGTGGTTGGCTTTGTTGCCGTTGGTGTCGTTGTTTTGATTGTGGTTGGCTTTGTTGCCGTTGGTGTCGTTGTTTTGATTGTGGTTTGTTTTTGACAAGGCGTGGGTTATAGTGGTTGGTTGGGGCTGCTGTTGTTGTTGTTGTTGTTGTTGTCGTTGGTTTGGGGGTGTTGCTGTTGATGTTGCTGCTGCCGCTTCTGTTGTCGATTGTGTGATGTTGTTTTGGTCGTTGCTGTTGTTGCTGTCGGTACCATCGCACGTTGATTGCCGCTCTGACCTTGCCCGAGATACCTCTTGTTTCCAAAGGGCCGGCATTTCGTGTCTTCTACTGCAAGCTTAACTAAAGGAACGCCTTGCATAGGTCATTTCATTTGCTACTTCTTTTTGCCGTGGGTGATGTGATCCAGTTTTCGGAAACGACCTTCAGTGTGCTTGTGTGCCGTTGTCTACCGTTGCCGATTCGTCTATCCCCCTCTCGCCCCACTGCTCCCTACTGCTACCCCCCCTCTCCGCTTGACGGTGTGCCTTGCCCCCCTCTCCGCTAGACCTCTCCAAGCACGATAGTCTTGGTTCCTATCCCTCCATGCAGTCTTCCTCCGTATCTCTCCATACCCCACAAGGGCGAGCGCTGTTCCCTCCCCTCAACCCCTCCCTCATCATCGAAACCATTCAATCAACCCCTTCCCTTTTTGCGCCGGCGCACCATGCCCTCCCCCCCCTTTTCCTCATGCACAAGTTAGCGCGCACGCTCCATGCTGCTTGCGTGTTGTCTTGACCTAAAAAAGAAACGAATTCTTCTCATCACATTCCCGGCGTATGCATGCACGGTGTGTCTGTGGTTCTTCCTTCGGTGTCGGACACGACAGATGCGGTACATGCTCTCTGTTGCGGGCAACTACAACTTCCTGGAGTTCATCTCGAACGCCAAGTCGGGGGAGTTTTTCTTCTTCTCCCACGACGAGCGCTTCATGATCAAGACCATGAAGGTGACTTGATCATGATTTTTTTTTTTATCGTGATGATAAACCATGAAGGTGACTCGCTTACGATTATTTGTTCGTGATCAAGACCTTTCAGGTGACCTGGTTGCGACTTAGATTTTTAGAGAAGTGACCCGAAACCAGTATTCCCGGGTGGGTATATCACCATTTCAGGGTACACTCAGAACTCAATACGCAGGCACCCCCAGGGAGCCGTGTCGTTGGTCAAAACACTGTCGCACCCACTTCTGGAGTAATCTTAACTCTAGTACAACTCTCGCTTACATCTCGACGCTCAGTACACCCGACGCTGGTGACTAGTGTATAAATAGTGTGCCCAGAAGGGGTAAAATTGCTTCCCAGAACTGGTCACTTCATCCCGGCGCCCGCCGACTCGAAAACCCGCAGCACATACCCGCATTCCGCACGTACCCACACAGCGCGTCGTGTACAGCACATTAGCCGCAGATGCTCGTTGATGGGATGGGGTGTCAGAGGATACCAATCTCCGACAGCCTCCCCGGTACAAACACGGCGAAACTCAACCGCCGTGTCCGGGCCTCCGAAGCCCGGAAGCATGCACATCACACTCGTACGGTCATGGCGAGCCACATCGCCGTAGGGAAGCGCTACAAGGACACTAGGCTCTTGAGAAGCGTAGATGTGGCGGCCATGTTCGCGGCAGCTGGCCGTGGGTTTCGGTCAGCGTCGGGAAGCGGCGGCCGGCAGAAGAACTTCATCTGCAACGGCGTCAAGGGGGGCTACCGGGCGGTCGTGAGGGCCTGCAACCAGCAGTCGGAGGAGTTCAAGGTCACCTTTGTCGTGGCGGAACACAACGACTACTTGTACGACTGCTCCCACGGCAAGGTCGGAGCGAGAGCGACTGCGCTCACGGGGTTGGCCAGTGCCTGCCCGCGTGGTGAGCAACCCGAACACGAAGGGCACGGACCCCTAACGGAGCCTAGAGCAGGCCACCGACCTCGAGGTGGGCTATGGCGCGGCGTCACGCCTGAAGCTTGCGTCGACGAGAGCGTCCTCGACTAGTCTTTCACCCGTGCTCAAGTTACTCCTTCGACGCTCTCGTCGACGCAAGCTTCAGGCGTGACGCCGCGCCATAGCCCACCTCGAGGTCGGTGGCCTGCTCTAGGCTCCGTTAGGGGTCCGTGCCCTTCGTGTTCGGGTTGCTCACCACGCGGGCAGGCACTGGCCAACCCCGTGAGCGCAGTCGCTCTCGCTCCGACCTTGCCGTGGGAGCAGTCGTACAAGTAGTCGTTGTGTTCCGCCACGACAAAGGTGACCTTGAACTCCTCCGACTGCTGCTTGCAGGACCGCCCGGTAGCCTCCCTTGACGCCGTTGCAGATGGAGTTCTTCTGCCGGCCGCCGCTTCCCGACCCTGACCGAAGCCCACGGCCAGCTGCCGCGAACATGGCCGCCACATCTACGCTTCTCAAGAGCCTAGTGTCCTTGTAGCGCTTCCCTACGGCGATGTGGCTCGCCATGACCGTACGAGTGTGATCCCACCCGGGTATATCCGTTTCGGGTGATCTATCTTGCTTCATCTTGATCAAGAGGATGAAGGTGGCTTGATAATGGCCGACAAATTTTGTTTCGTTTTATGGTGATGAGACAGTGGATGTGACTTGATCAAGGCTATACACTGTTATAGTTCGTTGTTATTTTGGTGATGAGACAGTGAATGTGACTTGATCAGACTAAATGTTGCTGTTGGTATTATCATGGGCAAAGAAAATGTTGGTGGTGGTTTTGTGATGATCATGACCATGAAGGCGGCGTGATTGAGACACGATTTTGTTCATTGTTTTCGGTGATCAGACAAGGAAGGTGAAGGTGAACCGTGCTGGTGTTGACCCTGTAAATAAATTAGAATATACTAGAAGTTCAAAAAGATTGCATGTTTGCATCAACACCATACGCGACACCCAACCACGATGTACGGATGACCCGCGCCCTGTCCGCCCGTCCCCGGACCCTCCCTCCCCGTCTTGGTCAAAGGTCCAACGTCTAAGGCATGCAAAACGTTTTCCCTTTTGCACGACACATGCAAGGATGATGACCAGCTTCTGGTTCACCCATGTGAATCGTAGCCTGGGCCGGCGACAACCCGGCATATCGCTCCGTCCCGGCAGGGATGGGAGGTCAATTATCTTACAACGACTACGGCACGCGCTTACGTTAGTGCACCCCTTCCCGTTGTACGGCGTTCTTCACCAGGCGTCCGAAACGAACTTTTCCCGGAAATCCTGCTCCGTCAGTGGCCTAACTAGGCATGCAAAAAATAAGGACGCCCCGCCCCCCCCATCCCTCCCCCATCCCCCATCCCCTTCCCGCTGCACGGCGTTTTTCACCAGTAATGCGAGACGAAGTTTACATCCAATGCATGCCACAACACATGGGAACACCCGCATCCCGCCCCCTTACCCCATCCCCCATCCCCTTCCCGCTGAACGGCGTTTTTAAGCTGTCGTCCTAGACGAAGTTAATACCCAATGCAACAAAACATGAATTAACAATATGGACGCCTCCCCCGCCACATGCCCCTTCCCGCTGAACGGCGATTTTCACCAGTCGTCCGGAACGAACTGTTTCCGGAAATCCTGCTCCGTCAAACGTGGTCGACCAACTAGTAAGGCAAAGAAGACATGAGTAACACAAGTACCATACGTACGCCTCCCCCTCCCACCCTCACATCCCCTTCCCGCTGAACGGCGATTTTCACCAGTAATGCCAGACGAAGTTAATACCCAATGCATACCACAAAACATGAATTAACATATGGACGCCTCCCCCGCCACATCCCCTTCCCGCTGAACGGCGATTTTCACCAGTCTTCCGAAACGAAGTTTCTCCGGAAATCCTGCTCCGTCAAACGTGGTCGACCAACGAATAAGGCAAACAAGACATGAGTAACACAAGTGCCATACGTACGCCTCCCCCTCCCACCCTCACATGCCCCTTCCCGCTGAACGGCGATTTTCACCAGTCTTCCGAAACGAAGTTTCTCCGGAAATCCTGCTCCGTCAAACGTGGTCGACCAACGAATAAGGCAAACAAGACATGAGTAACACAAGTGCCATACGTACGCCTCCCCCTCCCACCCTCACATGCCCCTTCCCGCTGAACGGCGATTTTCACCAGTCTTCCGAAACGAAGTTTCTCCGGAAATCCTGCTCCGTCAAACGTGGTCGACCAACGAATAAGGCAAACAAGACATGAGTAACACAAGTGCCATACGTACGCCTCCCCCTCCCACCCTCACATGCCCCTTCCCGCTGAACGGCGATTTTCACCAGTCTTCCGAAACGAAGTTTCTCCGGAGAATCCTTCCCCACTACTACGAGCACGTTAAGGTCCACCCGGAGACGTTTCTTGTTCGGTTCTACGGCATGTACCGGGTCAAGATGCATCACCTCAACAAGAAGGTCCACTTCATCGTCATGAATAGGTACATCGGTGATAAACGAGCGACCTTCGGGCGTTCACGGGTGTGCGGGGGGGGGGGGGGGGGGGGGGGGGGGGGGGGGGGAGGGGACCGCTGTGTTTCCGCTTGCTTGTGTTAGGGCTTCCGTGGGGTGGTGAAGGCGTTGCATGTGACGTAGTATGGTAGGATGCGAACCACCGCAACCGTTGTTGTGATTCACTGTCAGGGCAGGGGTCCGAAGCATATTTTTTGGATGTGGAGGGCGGTGGTGTTGCAGTGAGATTCATGTCATGTCTACAATACCGATAGTCTATAATATTGCAATCGCTGCGCGACAGGCCAGTGAGTTTCACCGTTTCTTATCATCGGCTCGTTCTTCTTGCAACACGTTTTTTGTCTCCTGGAGCGGCGTACCGTACATGACACGAGATAACACACCCCCTGGAACAATTTTTAAAGATCGATTACTCCACGATGAAGAGGATGCATAAACGAAATGGTACATTTTTGGAAAGCTCTCGACGAGACGGTTCCAACGCCGCCATTTTCGGCGCCGTGACTCTTTTTGTTGTTGGGAAATCGATATTTGAAAATGGGTCCAGGGGGTGTGTTATCTTGTGTCATACACGGTAACCTCGCGACACGCATGTGTATCTTGTGTCATATACCAAAAATCGAAATGCAACAGCAGTGGTACAAATAGTATCTCGAACGGACAGCCTTTCGGTGATTTTTTGTTTGAAAAACAAAACTGTTTACTGGGATCAGCCAAATATTTTTTTTGTTTGTTGACCTCGTGTTTTCTTTTTTTTTTCTGTAACAACAGCGTCCTGGACACGTACAAGGAGATTCACAACACGTACGACCTTAAGGGTTCTTCTCTGGGGAGGGACGCCAAGCCAGGGGAGAAGGTGCTGAAGGACAACGACCTCGCGGAGAGGCAGGGGAAGCTTCACCTCGGCTCCCAGAGGGAGGCGTTTCTCAAGGCAAGTCTGTTCCTTTCTCCTTCTCGCACACATATTCGCTCTCATTTTCTTTCTCTCTTTCTGTCTGCCTGTTTTTTTCTCTCTCTCTCTCGCTCTCGCTCTCTCCCTTTCTCTCCCTTTCTCTCTCACACACATATTCTCTCTCATTTTCTTTCTCTCTCCCTCTCATTTTCCTTCTCTCTCTCTGTCTGCCTGTCTCTCTCTCACTCTCTCTCTCTCTCTCCCTTTCTCTCCCTTTCTCTCTCTCTCACACATGTTCTCTCTCATTCTCTTTCTCCCTTTCCCTTTGTCTTATGTGTTTGTGGGTGGCACCAACCGCACGAAGACAATAATATGTGTTCGTTGTCGGTAATTGCATCCACCGCGCCACCCGAATGACCGAATACCCGTCTTTCTTTAACCTTATTTGCTGGCCAAGAGAACGCCAAAAGATGCCGTCTAGTCACCGGGCTCCCTATACGGGGTTGGGGAGGTCGGGGGGCGACGATGACAAGGTCCAATCTCCGGCTTGGACGCACATCAAAAAAGGATAAAGACTCTCAGCACACCAGGAGAAGTAGTCCTCCCACTACTGCTGTATGTACGCCTTCCGTAGTGACCATGCGCGCGTGGGCATCTCCTCCGCGGTCTGCCTTTCGTGCGTGGTGTTAGAGGTAACGATCTTTCCTTCTCAGCCCTTGTCTTGTACTAAGCACAAATGTTGGATAGAGCATGCGGTTCATGCAACGGCGGCGATCCGTCCTCCCTGTTTGTTGACCCCCTCATGGGTCCTCTTTCCAGGTGGCTAGGGGCGACGCAGAGTTCCTTGCGAGGATGAAGATCATGGACTACTCCTTGCTCACCGGCATCCACGACAGGACCGCCAAGCCTCCCGATGAGGAGGAAAAGCACCAATCGCCGAGACGCTACTCCAAGTTGTAAGGGACTCAACTGCCTACACTAAAAAGAAAGAAAAATTGTGTTGTTTACGAAAAGTCCAGGCCGGGGGCATGCAGACCCTGACCCTAACCTAAACGTGGCCGCTTCTATGCCTTATGTTTGGATTCTACGTGGACTAGTGAAGTGAGAGCAGTGTAGAGAGAAGCACCAATCGCCCAGACGTTACTCCCAGTTGTAAGTGACCGACAGCCGCACCTGTAGTTGTAGCATACTGGCCCGCTAATGTATTGGTGAGAATGTACTGTTTTGTGATTCAAGAGGATCCATTTTTCGCATACAATATTGAAATCGGGATTGAGAACGCACAGCTCAGATACGCGGTGGATCCTACGTGTGTCCCAGCCAGATTGTAATCCATGCTCAACGTCGATGGCGACGAAAGGAGGATCTGAAGAGGAATATGGATCCGCCATCCTAGGACCCCCCGCACCCTCTATCCCATCCTTCCACACAGTACAAGTACGCACACACAAATTCCGGTGACCTCCGCGCTGCCCCCGCTGGTAAGGGGAGCATGCAGATCAGAAATCGTATCAGGGCTTCGTTGGCTAGCCAGTCAACCCAGTCGACGCCAAAACCTTCAAATACAGAAGGCAGGGTGCGTGTGGAGACACGAACCGCGTAGATTTTTTTTTTCTCGGTTTTTCGTACTCTACGGCAGCCTGGCGTCTCTTCATTTCTCAGCCGCACGCAAACACGTGGTTTGGTGCCAATCCTGCAGCTTCTGTGCTTGCAAGCAAGCGAGAGGACGAGACACGACCGCCCCCACTCCGCAGCACCAGCGGCAAAAACAGCGGTGTCTTTATCTTCCGACATTCTTATTTCCATGCCGAAGCCAACCCTTTACCACCAACGGGGCCGCTCTCTTTGTTGTTTCATCTTTTTGCTTCTTTTTTTTTTTTTCTTGTATTCTCTGGTGAACAACAACTGTACATGTCCACAGAATCGCTTACCTCCCGTTTTTGACCTCCGTCCTCTCTCCTGCAGCTTCAACTTCGCGGACGAGGCGGATAACAAGGCCACCCCCGGCTTCAAGCCCGCTCCGGTGGCGTTACCGGGAGGACCGGTTCCCGGAACGGGCCCCAACCTACCGCCGCGGGCGGCCGGCGCGCACGGCAGTAGTGACGGCGACGACCGCAGCGCGGCAGGGGACGGCCGGGAGGCACCCCCGAGGGCGAGACGGGGCGGGGATGAGGGCGGAGCGTCCGCTGGTGCTAGCGCGGCGGCGGAGGGGGGGGGGCAGGGGTTGAGATTGTCCCCAGGCGTGGGTTTGCCGCGTGTGGAGGGGTCACAGTCGGCCGTGTCAGCCAGGTGAGATGGGAGGGGTCGTTGTGAGCCAGTGACGGTCATGTACGGTAGACGCACCGATGTCGTAGGTTATGGAACCTGGAAAGAAAACCCGATAACATGTTTGTGTTTTTTAGACGAGAGGAGCTGTTTTTCTGTTTGATTGCCTACAAGAGATATACTATCCGCGTTTTGGTTCTAGTTACTCCTCGTTCGAAGGTGTTGCATCAGAATGCCCGCTTGCCAATCACTCACAGAGGGCAAGAGAGAGGTATACGTTTTTCTCAACCATCGCTCCTCGCGCGACGCGTGCGGCTCGTCGAAACGTGCCGTGCCAGGACGTTCGACAGCAACCAGGCGGAGCTGATGTTCGGCAACACCACCGGAGGGAAAAGTAGCCCGGACACCAAGCGGAAGGTAAGCACCAACGAAGTGTTTTTCAGCCTCAAGCCCTCTCTCCACCCCTCTGCGATGGTCATTCAGTAGACCCCGGGCACGCCAAGCTTAAGGCCAACAGTAAGAAAGGAACAGCTAACTTAATTTCGTTGGTTTTTGGTTGGTTTTGGGTAGGACGTTGGACGTATCGACTGTGTGCACAGGTAAGTTGCCTCGTGAAACGCTACAGAATTGCTGCTGTTCCCTATCCGTCTATTCCACCAAGTGTCATTTTTTATTTTATGTTTTCACTTTCTCTATCCCTCCCCCTTCGGTGTCCCTTCCAAACCGTTCAGATGTCGATGGTGGCCCTGGATAGCGTGGCGGGGGCCGCGGCGGCAGGAGAGCTGTACCCGGCTAGCACCGAGGAAGATCCGATCGACATCGACATCTACAGCGACGAAGAGGCTGCGGGGGGAGGGCTGTGGAGCGCCATCGGCACGGGGACTGAGGGAGAGGTATAGCAGAACACAAAGGAGGGGGGGGGGTTCTCCGTAGACTGGAAAACTGTCGACGAGATGTTAACGGAACTACCCTGTGCTACCAAAACTCAACAGGTGCCTTTAATAATATCTAATATTCGCCATGGCGGAGGGGTCCTAGAGTTTGCACCCTGCAGGATGTCCGCTGAGCACCAAATGGTTAGAATGCCCTATATAGAGCAAAAATGCGTACGAACTAACACTCCATCCAGAGGGCTTTTCGGCAGTAGCACCGTCTCGTTTCGAATCGACCTACGAAAGTCTGTCCACTGTAAGGGGAGGTGCGATCACCCGCACAACTACGTTGAAGGTTTTGACGTCCAAGGTGAACTGAGAGTCATGGAGTGGATAGGCATGCATCTCCATTGCTGGATCATGCAAGATCACACTTGGGTCTTTATAGTGGGATGATGATCACGCAATCACGCGTCTAGCCTCGCCTACCCTTGCTTGTTCGTTGGCGATGATCTTGCGTTCACACCTCTTAACCTTGGCTTTTTTGGAAACTTTTCCCACGGGTTTTTTCCAACAGGATGCAACAGATACGGGGGGGGACTACACAGAGGGGGACGCTGAGGTGTGTGTAGGGAGGGGGAGGGGGGGGGGGCTCTAGCTGCTTCATGGCTGTGTTGATCTTGAAGCAATTGACCGACCACAGCCGGAGCTAAATAGTTGAGCTCGCTTGTCTTGGAGTGACAGCAGTCGCTCCCGAAGCGTGCAGGTCCTGTGTGCCACATTGCAGTGGCGTTGCCTTGGCACACCCCACTCTGACGACCCTAGTTGGACCCCCTAGGACACGATTTTCTTACCCGTATCCACCCCCCGATCCTTTGTGTGCGTGCTTGTCTTGATTGTTAACATGGATCGCGCCAACCGGCAGACCAACGAAAAATCGTCAGGCTCAGAAGTGGGGGGGCTGAAAATTGACACCTGCTTCTTACATCTGTGCGCTTTTTGTTTTGCTTTGCTTCTTTTTGCTATTTTTTCTGGCAGTACGAGACCCCCGGAGAGCACGACCTAGAAGACACAGGAGAGCTCAAGAGGTCTCTCTCTCGCTGCAGCACCGCCAAGGGCACCCTCTCCAACCTGCCGGACTCCTTCCTGTTCTCCTTGCAGGAGGCCACCGGCGCCGCCGCCGACGCCGCCGCCGCCGCCGCCGACGCCTCCGGTGCACCAGCCGCCGGCGGCAAGGGCCGACGCGGGAGGAGGGGCGGCGGAGGGGAATCTGTGTCGACGCGGCGGGTCTGGACGGGCAAGGCGAGAAAACCGGTCTCGAGGTGCGTTTTTTTTTTTTTGCAATAATGATGTGGGTACACTGGCATCCCCCCCCCGTGTTCGAGACAGTAAAACGCGAAAAAAAAGTAGTACCGTAGGTTGCCATGAGATACCGCAGCCCTTTCTTTTTGTTGCCAGGTCAGCGCTCACAGCTCACACAGCATTTCTGCCGGGCAGGAGCTGGTCCAATACTCCAATCCGTGGCCGTCACACAGAAGGGTTCCTCTCCCTCCTCCCCCCCCCCCTCCTGCGGTGCTTGCCTTCTGACAAGGAAAACGCCAAAATGAAATAACGCAATTGCGAAAAGCTTTCGATCGCACGGCTCCAGCTCGTCTTCTAGACGTTCGTGAAGCCCCACCCCCCCTATCGACGTCGTGAGTGACTTGCCGCATCGCACTCCGATCCCGTCCGGCTTCTGACGTTCGGCAACCCTCACCCCCTCCATCGACGTCGTGAGTGACGTGCCGCATTGGCACTCCAATTCTGCTCTTGACGTTCGTCAACCCCTACCCCCCCTATTGACGTCGTGAGTGACGCGCCGCATTGGCACGCCGATTCTGCTTTTGACGTTCGTCACCAACGCCCGCACTTCTTTTTTTCGTTCGCACTTCTCCATCAAGACCAAGGCCGGAACCTCGGTTAGCTCCTCCGGAATCGGCGGTTTCGTGCACGATAAAGAGGCGTTTAGACGGCGGTCTGGACTCTGAAGTCGGCGGGAAGCGGGGCCGCGACATCTACTTCATGGGCATCATCGACATCTTGCAGGCGCGCGCTTCAGCAAGAAACGTGTTTGCTGCTGTTCTTCTTGATGCTCGTCACGTTTTTCTCTTTTTCCCATGCCTTTTACCATGTAAACGTCTGATACCCCAGAACCAAAAATATGGAGTAATCCTAAACCAACGTTTGAAAACCCCAACAAAACCTTTGCGCTCATGTAGCGTTGGATACAACAACACCTCTGAATTTATTTGGACACAACCCCTCGCGTTTTGCCATCTGGCTTATCATGCGTCCGCCACACGCGCGTGTTCTTTGTCGTTTTCTAAAAACAAGCAGGAGTATAACGCGCGGAAGCACGGCGAGACTTTCCTCAAGTCGCTGGCGCACGATCGAGCAGAAATTTCCTGCGTCGACCCCGCGACGTACTGTCAGCGATTCAACGACTTCCTCGAGCGACACACGGATTAGATGTTAACCATATCTTTTTTTTAATACAGTATCACCATGAATTAGTTCAAATTATTTAGGTTATTCCTTGTTGTCAGTCTTGTCGTTCCAACGAGGTAGCAGCAAGTAAGCAAGCAAGCACGGTGTGCGCAATATCCAGAGGTGATGATTTTGGTGTGTGAGTCAGTGTGTCGTTTTTTGTATGTGTGATTGTTCGTTCTTTATATAAACATGATGCAGCTGTACCTTTTTGTGTTAGCTGTGCTTGTTGTTTTGCTTTGTGCTTTATGTAGAGAGAGAGAGAGAGAGAGAGAGAGAGAGAGAGAGAGAGAGAGAGAGAGGCGGTTTCGGTGCCATCCTTTTTGTCTTTCACGAGAGGAGATTGTTGCCCCTCCGCTTTGTACTTGACGGGGCCTCCGCAGATTGCGCTGTTTGCAATGCGTCACCACCAACGTTCTTGATATGGAGGGGGGGCATTGATGTACGTGGATGAATAGAAGTGTGTGTTTTTCTTTTAACACGCTCCTGCTTGTTGTGGTGGGCACGTTCTTTGCGACGTGTTCCTCCAGCCCGCTATGAAAGTTCGCACAACGTGAGATCAGCCCGACTTTCCCTCAAGAGGCGAAGGTCTAGCACGCATCCTGAACCTCTGGCATTGCTTTGAAGGCCGACGGTGATGTGTGTGCCAGCGGGCGTTGACATGGCGCCACGTACGTATGTGCCGGTTATTCTTTGGAGTTGGTATTGTAGTAGTAACGTGTGGTGGTGGTTGTGGTTGGTGTTTTCACTGCAATAGGTCAGCGCGTTTTCAAATAATTCCGTCCGATTTTTTGGACATTCTGCACGCAGAAGAACGAAAAACCACCAAGCTGAGCTATTTTGTGGTGTTCCCCCATGACGAGGCAGTCCTAGGAGGAGGTGTGTGTAGATAAGGAGCGGCGGTGAATGTGGACGACGACCGCTACTGTATACGTCCCATTCACCCGGTCGGGGTAGCAGTTAGAGGAGGCGTGATCGAGAGTCCGGGGGCGTTTTAGAACGGGGGGGGGGGGGGGGTCGGGGTTGAGGATTGAGCGTGTTTATTTTTGTCCTTGGGTGTGCTTCCCGTGTCTTGTGTCAACTGCATCTCAGTTGGCTGGCACGGTTGACCATGCGGCTCATGGATGCTGGGTAGAGTAGCTTATTTTTGTAGGAAGGTGAGTTCGAAGCACTGCTGCTGCGACAGAGTTGGGATGTGGAGGGAACGGGGTGCGTAGTATGGGGGCGGCAGGCAATCAATGGATCGCAGTGACCGGTGGTTTCTGTTGTGTCACAAATTTCCTTTGACTTCCCGCGGAGTCTTGCTGACATTTATCAATGATTCGGCTGGCGATGCGCATGTCGCCGGTGGTATACGAGATTTCGCAGCCTGGTACATCATTGAATCGATGATCCCCAGTCGTTACGATCGTGGTGGTGCGTCTACAGTGTACGACCCCGAAAAAACGGTACTGTCACGTATATATTCTGGTGCTGCTGTGGTAGACCATGTGACTGTTTACGTGAGCAACCTGAAACCCTTCGCCATGACGCGCCTCGCCCTTCGCATCACAAGGGAATCTTGACAATCCACGCTCACGCTGAAGAGAATAACCCCCCCCCCCCCCCCCCCCCC